GGAGAGGAATCCAGGAAAAAAGCCAAGTATTGAGTCTCCACTGGAAAGCAGGGAAAACTGCTTTCTGATGCTGCTATGAGGCTGACTCAAAGCTAGGACTGACAAAAGTTCTTCGTTCTCATGTTCTTGGCCTGCCAGCCACTGGTCCGTTTCCATCCCCAAAAGATTATCTCACTCGGCTCACGATTAGCCTACGGATTCCCTAGAAAATGAGACAGTTTGAGGACTAGAGGGCTAATACTCCTGGTTACAACTACACAACTACAAGGGGTCTAGGGCCTAGTGCAAAGACAAGGGTGAGAAACAATGGATCCTCCTACCAGAAATGAGTTCAACTTGGCCAGGCTCTTCCTCTAATGATCTATACATATGGGGACCTTTCTCAGAACCCCATCAGTAAGCTGAGACTCAAAGGTTGAGATAATACTCTTCTCTCAGTAACAAGCTTGGATTCTTATTTGAGAAGATTCCCTTCCCATCCAAATCCTACATTCTCAGGCATGCACTGTAAATGGAAGGGACCCTACCTCCAGAGGTGACAAGCAGAACACTAGCCCCTAACCCTGCAGACTGATGTGAGATAGGCATGTATGCAGGCCATCCTCCTGACCACATGTATATTCTTCTCTGTCCTTCACAATCTGTCTTTTTAGCCTTAGGGTCCCTATAGCCCAACCTTATGATTTAACCTAAACAGAATTCCCACCGTTCTCCAAACATACCCTGGTGTTCCCCATCCTATGCCTTTGCTCTAGTCACTCCCTTTATTTGGAATGTTCTCGCTCTCACCTCACATTCCTAAAGAATCCCAAACTTCTTTCCTTAAGAGGAAAGTACTACCTCTTCCAATTTTGGCTGAGGTCAAATAGCCCTCCTCTGATCTTTAATTTGCCCACTCTTTAAGACCTACTATGCGCTAGAATATACGAATAATTCCTACAACTCAACAACAAAAAACAACTGAAGTCAAAAATGAGCAAAGGCTGTGAATAGGCATTTCTCCAAAGCTATACAAACGGCTACAACCACATGAAAAGAGGCTCAACATCACCATTCACTGGTGAAATGGGACGCCAGAGTCACGCCCATTAGGATAGCTATTACTAATAAGTAACAAGTGCTAGTGAGGATGGGGAGAAATTAGAACCTTTGGACACTGTTGGTGGGAACAGAAAATGGTGCAGTTGCTAAACAGTTTGACAGTTCCTCAAAAAGCGAAACACTGAATTATCATATGATCTAGCAATTTCACTTCTGGATATATAGATGATCTCTGACTTACCATAATCCAACTGAAGATTTTTCAAATTTATGATGGTGCAAAAGTGACATGCACTCAGTAAAATCATTTTCAAATTTTAAATTTTGTTCTTTTCCAGGCTAGCAATTCAGTACAATATTCCGTCTGATGCTGCACAGCAGCAGTGACCCACAGCTTCCGTCAGCCACAGCAACATAAGTGTTCTGAGCACAGCAACATAAGTGTTCTGAGCACATCTGAAGGAGGCTAAGCTATGTTCAGTAGGTTAGGTGTGGTAAATGCGCTTCTGGCTTATATTTTCAACTTATGATGGGCTTATCAGGTTGTAACTCACCCTAAGTTGAGGAGCATCTGTACTTAAAATAATGAAAAGCAGGAACTTGAACACGTACTTGTATACCAGTGTTCACAGCGGTATTATTTACAAATAGCCAAAAGGGAGAAGCAACCCAAGATATCATTGATGGATGAATGAGCAACAGAACATGATATATACACATACAAAGGAATATTATTCAGCTCAGAAAAGGAGGGAAATGCTGTTGCATGCTGCAATATGAATGAACCTTGAAGACATTATGCAAAGTAAAAGCAGCTACAAAATGCTACTAAACGAACCCACAGGCCCTTAAGGAAAAGGTATCTAAGGTGGTCAAATTCACAGAGACAAAGCATGGTGGTTGTTAGGAACAGGCGGAAGGAAAGAATGAGGAGCTAGTGTTTAATGGGGACAGATGAAAAAAGTTCTGTAGATGGACAGTGGTGATGGCTGCACAACAATGGGTATGCACTAATGCCACTGAATTGTGTATTTTTAAATGGTGCTGGGTGTGGAGGCTCACACCTGTAATCCCAGAACTTTGGGAGGCTGAGGCGGGTAGATAACCTGAGGTCAGGAGTCCAAGACCAGCCTGGCCAACATGGTGAAAACCCATCTCCACTAGAAAGTACAAAAATTAGCTCAGCGTGGGGGTGGGCACCTGTAATCCCAGCTACTCAGGAGGCTGAGGCAGAGAATTGTTTGAACCAGCGGGGCGGAGGCTGCAGTGAGCTGGCACTGCACCACTGCACTCCAGCCTGGGCAACAAGAGTGAGACTCTGTCTCAAAAAAAAAAAAAAAAAAAAGGCCGAGCACGGTGGCTCACGCCTGTAATCCCAGCACTTTGGGAGGCTATGGCAGGTGGATCATGAGGTCAGGAGTTCAAGACCAGCCTGGCCAAGATGGTGAAACTCCATCTCTATTAAAAATTTAAAAATTAGCCAGACATGGTGGCAGGCACCTGTAATTCCAGCTACTCAGGAGGCTGAGGCAGAGAACTGCTTGAATCTGGGAGGCGGAGGTTGCAATGAGCGGAGATTGTGCCACTGCACTCCGGCCTGGGCAACAGAGTGAGACTCCATCTCAAAAAAATACCAATAATAAAAGTAAATAAATAAAATAAAATGGCTAAAATGGTAAACTTTTTACGTTTATCTTAGCACAATAAAAAAAAAATCAACCTCAATACGGGAGACTTCAGTGTCTCTCTTACTAGTAATTATCTCGTTGTGTAACTCTTGACATCTCTCATAGCAACTACTTTACCCATAGATCAGAGTCCCTTCATTCAATTGTTAGCATTGATTGGTACTGTGCTAACAAATGAACAAAGGGACCTAAGTATCTGAGTATGCATATGCATGTGTAGGCAGTAAAGGCTCCAAGCCAACATCTCTTTTGCCCAGTCTTTTATTCCTGCCTTAAGGAAATCAAAGAAGGAATGGTGTTGGCTCATCTTGAAAGAACTTTATCAAGTACTGGGTTTGAGCCCAGTTTGTGTAAAATCCTTAATTGGCCTAGAGGCCAAAATAAGTTTAATATTACCTCCTTAACCCCTAAAGACTACTGTCTTCTAGCTCCAACGTTAAGGAAGAAGTGAGACCTGACTACTTAAGTTTCTCTCCTTTCTTCTCCCCACTGCACAATCTTGCCAAGGTAAACGATTCCTATAGGGCCTCTTAGGGATATCTAAAAAGCAACAGCTTTTGTCTGGGCATGGTGGCTCATGCCTGTAATCCCAGCACTTTGGGAAGCCAAGGTGAGCAGATCACCTGAGGTCAGGAGTTCAAGACCAGCTGGCCAACATGATGAAACCCAGTCTCTACTGAAAAAATACAAAAATTAGCTGGGCATGGTGGGGAGCACCTGTAATCCCAGCTACTCGGGAGCCTGAGGTAGGAGAATCGCTTGAACCTGGGAAGTGGAGGTTGCAGTGAGCCAAGATCACGCCATTTCCCTCCAGCCTGAGCAACAATAGTGAAACTCCATCTCAAGAAAAGAAAAAAAAAAAAAAAAGGCAACAGCTTTTGGGCAACGATCTACCGTTACTGTACCTTCCCGCTTCCCTTCATTTTCAAAAAAATTTTTCATGCATTCAATAAACAGTAAGATTACATTCTTTCTTCTCATGTTAAGTCTTTGAAATCTGGGGTACATTTTATACTTAAAAGCATGTCCTAATTTGGACTAGACACATTTCAAGTGCTCAATAGTTACATGTGGCTAGTGGTAACTGTATCAGATGCACAGCACTAGTGTATCTCAAAATAACTGTGGAGGCTGGACGCAGTGGCTTACACCTATAATTCCAGCACTTTGGGAGGCTGAAGTGGGAGGATCGCTCAAGGCTGCGGTAAGCTATGATCATGCCACATCACTCCAGCCTGACCCATAGAGCAAAACCCTGTCTCAAAACAAAACAGAACAAAAAACCCCCACAAAATAGCCCTCCAAAACAAACAAAAAACGAACAGTTGGGACCAACTAGGATTAATACTTGCCCAGCATTTACTTCTCTGGGTAGGGTTGGGTAATGCCGAAGAAATGATGGAATCTGAAGCTGCTTACCCATCAAAGGAAGAGCTGGTGCAGTCGTATACCATCTCCCGGTTACCCTTCATTTGTAGATACGCATCACAATTGTCACAACCATCATATTCAAACTGGTCTATAGTCTGGGAGTGAAGAAAAATAAAGGAGAAGAAGAGATAAGCATAAACAAGACCAAAAGAAAAAGTAGCCTTCTCAATACTTCAACCTGCTCAATGTCTTGTTTCCCTATGTTGACTATGTCTCCTCAGGTTCCCCACCTACTACTCCTGAAGCTCCATTCCTAAGTCCCACCCTCCCACTCCTTCCTCTCTTGTTCCCAATTCCGTTTTATCTATTCCTTTCTCTAGTCTCCTCAGGGTCAGGCACCCTTTCCAACTACTCACTCAGCTGCGGATCCCCACCCGCCTCTGACTCCCAGGGTCTTTCGGCTCCAACGTCACTCCACCGAACGTCTAAGCCTAGGGCTGAGGATTCAAAGCAGCCTCAGCTGCAAGACCTGCCCGCGACCCTACGAGGTAAAAACAGTGGCCTCCTTCGGCTTCTCCTCCCGCTGCCACCTCTGAGTCCTGGATCTTACTTTTCTCTTTACTGTCCCACGGCCCCGTTCCGCCCTCATTCCCCCATCTTGGTCCCCCATGGACCCTACAACCAGGTCCCCGACTGGCACCTTGACCAGTGAACACAGCAAACAGGCCCGCAGATGCCGCAGGTCCTTTGGCACGGTCTCCAGGGCCATCTTCTCCGATGGGAAGAGCAACGGAGATGAAGACAGCCACAAGCCTACACACCCGCAGGAAGTAAACAGCTCATTACCCAGAATGCCCGCCACTTCCGGTGCTTAGACTTCCTCTTCCGGTGTGGGCGGGAGCCGGCTCCGCCCCTACCCCCCGCCGGAGGAGATGGTTTCTCCCACCGGCAAGCGGGGAGGCGGGGCGGCCGGCTGCCACCTGGGCCGGGGCGCGTCCTCGGCACCTGGGCCCGCGGAGGGTGAGGCGGAGGCGGTGCAGGGTAGTCGGCGGGTCCCCGGGGGGCGGGGCGGGCGGCTGTGCCTGCGCGGGAGTGCTTCGGCCTGAGCCGCAGCGCCGGGACGCGGGCCGTTTGATAGGTGCTGCTGGCCCGGGGCTTCCGTCCCGTTCCCCGAGGGTAGCCCGAAGTGTTTTTATTTTTTATTTTTATTTTTTTATTTTTTGGTCTTCCCGTTTTAGAAGCATTGGGGCAGTGAATCCAGTGTCTCCCTCTGGATTATCTCTGCAGAGACCCAGGACAAATCCGGGGACAGCCCCACCCCTCCTTCCTAACTGCGAGAGCGCAGTAGGGTTTCCACGAGCCTCCCGCAGGAATGCTGGCTGGGTAGCTACGGCGGAAAAAAAATGCGCATTTATCTTTTAAAACTCTACGTCTGTTTGCTGGTTCCGGCTGATAATTTATAGTTTGCGCAGTTCTTAGTACTTAGACAACGGTTCCTTTACTAAAGAATATTTGTAGATTAGTGTCCCTTTTTTCCCCTTTGATTTCACGTACAGGAAGCAAAATGCCTTGCTCTATGGGCACCAAACCACCACCACCTCTACCAAACCTTTCTCGGGGAAGCAGAAGGGGCGCTTGTGCCGTGTGAGGAAGCGACAGAGGCTCCTCCTGCCCCTGGAGACTTCAGGCCAACGGAGCACCAGCTCTCTTCGTCCTCGCAATGGCCCGAGTGCAGGCAAAACACAGTCATTTGGATTTATCTGAAAGGAGCTTTGGGATATAAATAGGTTCAGGCCCCGCTGCTCTGTCCTTCCAGGCCAGCCTCCTGATTGAAACTGAGCTGCTTCCGGGTAGGCTTGCTTCTGGTTGCCGGTCCCATGCTGTGTTCGGATGGGCTCTGTGACAGGTTTGGATGTTTTCTATCACTGAATAAAACTTTCCACTTTGGAACATGTTTTCTGCTCTCTGCTGTCTCATCTAAGTCCTGCAGCAACTATGAAGTAGGCCCATTTTATGGAGTGAAAAAGCGAGGCACAGAGTATTTGCCCAAAGTCATAAAGTCAAGTCACCGAAGCATCGTAATGTGTGAAGTGAACAGTATAATAATATGACTGAATCACAGTGGGAATCCAGTCACGCTTTTCTCTTTCCCTAATCCCACTAAGCCACACTTTTAGGGGCTTACAAACCATTTCTTATTGCCAAGCCCTCTACTCTACCCTATCCTTTGATAAATCAGAGCCTAGCCTCTGATAACAGAAATAATTTATTTGTCTTGATGTAGAGAGATGAAGTTGTGACCCTGAGTGACAGTCATGACAGAACAAAACCACAAGACCAGACCACATTTGTGGATAAATATATTAGCAAATAAATACATTTCTCAACGTAGTGCCTGATTCAAGCGTCTTTCTGTCTGGTTCAGATATAAATACCCATGTGGGTGCCTAGGTGCTAGTCTCCCCACTAACAGGGAAGAAGGTTCCCAGGTGGGGTCCTGTGCCCACTTTGTCCCCACATTCACATTCCAAATGGGATAATGCCTGAGGGGCCAACAGTGGTCAGGCTGCCCTGGGGTGAATGTCACCCTGTGGAGGCTCCTCAGCCCTTGTCCACTCTGTGTTAAGCGGCCTAGGCCAGACTTCTGCTCTAATCCACTCTCCTGTGGGTCCCTGGCCTGCATGGCTTATACTGGCGAGCTGGGTTTCTGGTCCCTCCAAACCTAAGGGTCACACTTTGCTTTTCCTTTGTTCTCCCCCATTCTCCATCCCTGCTCTGAGACAAAACTTCTCCCAGAGAACTCTTTGTTGTCCCTGCTCAGCTGTAATTCTGCCTTTTCTACCTTCATTCCATCCTTCCTCCCTCTGCCCAGATGAAGTCCAGCAGAAATTCTCTCCTTTCCACCTGCTCTGGGACTCTGAGACAGGAAATCTTCAAAGAGGAGTTTTTCCCTCTCCAATATTCTTACTCTAAACCCCCAGCGGAGCTAAGGCTGCTGAAGCAAGAAGAGTTCTTCTGCAGTACCCCCCTCAGGGACAGAACTACACACTAGAATGGGAAAGCTTCAGGGATCCCTCCTCTTAGTGCTCCAGGCTTACCTATACGCCTGGTCCTTTTGGCAAAAAAGGAATGGTAGAGCCTGGGTTGCCCCTGATGTAGCAGCCTTACTGTGGAGGGGCCAAAGCTGGTGTGCAGAGCTCACCTGAGGAGGGAGGTGATAAGGCATCATGTGTTCTGCTGAACCCACTGGCTGGTATGAACATGAGGCCTGGGGTGAGGGAGATCTAGTAGGGATCGGGGAAGGAGCAGCACCTTTGTAACACCTGGCTACCCATAGCTAGCTTTCTGCCCTCAAAAAACTCAGCCTTCAAGGGATCCAGCCCACACATGCCACAGGCAGGAGCTGGTCGCCTGGCTGGACACGGACTTGCTGCACTGCAGGTGTGTTCTGCAGACAAGGTCTGGAGCTGGAGCAGGAAACAGCACCCTCCTGCCCTCCACCATCACCAATCCTCTTCCAGTGCTTCTAGGAAATATGGCAAAAAAGACTGGTGTTTGCTATGGTCCTTTCTTCTCCCCGGAGCAGGACTCCGTGCCAGGCAGGGCCCAGACTCAGCTGGAGCACACTCTTAGTTGGAGCTAGGCCTGAACATCTCACACAGCCTGTTCACACAGCTCCTCGAGTTCCTCCTCTGAGCCTGTATTTAAAAAAAAGAGGAGAGGAAGGAGGTCACTGAGGGTCAGGCCAGGCTTCTGCTTCTCTCACCTGCAGGAGAGTGTGGCTGGGAGGGGACCACCGGGAGGGAAGAGCAGAGACTATGTCTGGAAAGGGTGGTTATATTGAAAGCTAAGGGAACACAGGGGAGAGAAAAACAAATCTAAGGAAATACATATATAGCAACCAATGTGTTACTAATACTTACTATTAACTTACTCACCCAATAAATATTAGGCATTCGTTGTGAATTAGATAGTCTGTTACCATATGCCAAATAGAAGACCAAAAAGAATAAGCAGGGACCTGGTAACGTTTTTGGAGAGAAAGTATGAAAGCAAATGGCCATTACGCCAGTGAGACAGGACAAGAGTCGTGAGAGATCCATTAAGGAAAGAGACAGACCAGGCCCAAGTGCAGCAATCAGGAAAGGCTTCCTGGAAGTGGGAATAAATGAGCTGGTTCTGTATGCATAGGTATGAATTAGATTTATGGGAATAGGGAAGGTAGGAGAATATTCTGGGCTACGGAAGTGTTTGCCCAGTTTGGCTAAAGCATTGCCTGGAGAAGGGATGGAAGAGAGTAGAAAATAAGGTTGAGAAGGAAGACGGGGGCTGGCTGGTGTGGGAACCTTGGAGGCCAAAGCAGAGCGGATTTTTCCTCTCTGTGGACAAAACAGAACATCTGAAGATTTCTGGACAGCTTATTGTAATGCAGATGACGCTGGCAGCAGTAGGGAGGGTAGGTGAGCAGGAGAGCTGTGGCACACAACTCTATGGGACATACTGGATGAGCAACACTCAGCCTTCAAGGCCCCGTAACAGGGAAGAGCTAGGAGGCTCCTGCGTCGATCTTTAGGCTATACCGAAGACACCGGCAGGGCCGGCACCGGCCTTGAGGAGAACATGATAAAGCCAGCCAAGATACAGTTAACAGAACCTGGCACTGATTAGATGTGAGAGGCAAGGAGAAGAGAGGCACTGAAAGTAGTTCTGAGTTTGAAAGAAAAGGGAGGTAGTGGTCTGGCACTGGCAGCACCGACAGTACACACGATAGGGCCGGAATGGAATCACAAACACATAGCCAAGCTTGCAGCACGTGGCTCTCTCCCCATGGACCAGGATTTCCTGGATGGCAAGTTCCATGTCCTCAGAGCCTAGCCTGGAACCTAGCACAAAGCAGGCATATAGTCAAAGAAGGAAAAAAAGGAGGGAAGGAGAGAGGAAATGAATGAATAAATGAATGAATGGATGAGAGCAGCTCCACGTCCTACATGAAGAATTCCTACACTGAGAAATATTTCAGGACCTTTGGGCCACCTCCTAGGGTAGAAGGGTTCTCCTAGTGATGGCTGTAGACAAAGAGCTGTGTCATCCATACAATGGGGGAAGATGGGAAAGAGTGGAAGGTGGAAGGTCCTGGATGGGGAAGAGGGGTATGTGGGCAAGTAAATGCCATGTTAAAGTTGAGAACTTACATGATCACCACTTGCTGTAATATAGGGATGCACTGAATCCCCAAGAAATTGAGGTTGGTCTCATTAATAATGGTGTATGGAAGGGGAGGCCTCTTGGTTCTTCTACCACAGCGGGAGAGAGAAAACCTAAGGCCCACAGGGCTGCTGGGAACCATCTGTGGTTTCTCTCTCTCGCTCTCTTTTTCTCTCGTTACTCGCATATCTCTTCTTGTATAGTCTAGTATTACGGTTATCTGTAATTATTTCCATGATAAGATCACGCTCTCCCCAAGGAACACTTCCTGGCCGGCCTTCTTTGTATTTAGGACTAACACTGAGCGGTAAGCATTGGTAGAATGAAACCAGTTATTAAAATATAGAAATATTTAAGTGTGAGCTGCTGCCCCAGACCACTCCAAGTACCTTTTTTTTTATTTTTTTGAGAGGGAGTCTCGCTTTGTTGCCCAGGCTGGGATGCAGTGGTACCACCTCAGCTCACTACAACCTTCGCCTCCCAGGTTCACGTGATTCTCCTGCCTCAGCCTCCCAAGTAGCTGGGACTACAGGCATGAGCCACCGCAGCCGGCCTTCCAAGTGCCTTTCTGATGCCTCAGCCACACCAGCACCTCCCTAGGCCCTCCCTGTGATCTGCCAACTAAAGGGGTAGCACCTTTTAGAGCTGGGGTGTTCCATCACTCTAGCCAGCATGCTATGCTGTCCCAATGGTTAAGTATTTTCAAATCGCTTCTGCTTTATCCTTCTCAGCTTCCATCAACTCTTTGTTGGCTGACTTCACTTGTCCTGAAATATTCAGCTCTAGTCTCCTCTCCCTACCACACCCACTCCCCCCTGAAAACTCACCCGGCTGGGCCGGCAGCACCTGGCAGTGTGGATAAGGGCACGGCCTGCCCTCTGCAGTGTTAGAACTCCATTCAGAAGGCCCCTCCCCAGGTGGATGTGGTTCCAGGGGCCGGCGAGGAGCCAGACACAACCACACTGGCTGTGAATTTGAGTAACAGGGGCCTGGGGTTTCTGGTAGCAGCCTCCTGTCCAGTCCTGAAGGTCCAAAGATCAAGGGGTGTGCCTCTGGGGACCAAGGATATGCCTGGTTAGAGCTGTAATGGGGAAAAATCTGGCAAGCTGGGTGCACAGTTGCATCCTGGGGCCGAGAAGCAGGGGTGGGCTCAGAGGGACCTCCCCGCCGTTTCCTCTGTGGGTGTCGGGCAGAGAGGCTGGCTTTTTGCAAGTTGAAAAGACTGCTGGTACTGGGGCAGATGCTGGAGGCTTCAGCTGGGCCAGGGGCTGGCTCAGGGAGGGCCCTGGGCCTCTGTGGGTTAGAGAGCTGCCCCAAAGGGGCCACTGAGTTGGATCTGGTGACTTGCTGATCAGGAGAAGGTGGCTCCAGCTGGGGCTGTGTCTGAGGAATAGGCGGCCTGGACTGGGAGACCCCAGTTTCTGGGCCAGGCTTCCTGCCATGCCACTGGAACTGCTTTTTGTAGTGGTGGTGCCGGTGGCGGTGGTAGTGAACATGGCTGGCAACCTGGGTTTCCCCTGTGGGCACCACTGAATCTAAGGAACGAGGCCGAGAGGCCACACTGGGCTGCATGTCCACCTGCTGGGGATCCCCTTCAGGGCTGCAGTACACCAAGGGGTCAACATCACTGCTCAGGGAGCTGCAGAAAGTAGAGCTGCTGCCATGGATGCCCTGTAGGCTGATGTCCGTGCAGTTGACCACAGAGTCACTGGAAGAGCCATGACAGGGCCCTGAGCTGGAGTCACTGGCTGGCCCATCTGCCAGGTACCCACTGCGTTCTGTGCAATAGCTTTCTCCAGATCCACTGCTGTCAGGGGGTCTGGCCCGGCGCAGGGGCACTGGGCAAGCAGCAGGGTGCTGTGAGGTGCACTGGAGATGGCTCAGTCCCCAGCCTTGTGCATAGGGGTGTGGGGCCCCTGCCAGGGGCTGCTGCTCTCCTGGAGCCCAGGTATGTGCAGCTCTGGGGAGGCGGTGATGCCGAGGGCCCACGCCTGTCTCCTGGGATGGCAGGAAGGGACCAGGTCGTGGGGGCCGAGCCACTGTACTCCGGGAAGGGCCCAACAGGTAGGCAGCAGGGAGGTGGTAGTGGGCATGGCCAGGATGCTGGCGAATGAGGTGGAGTCTTCGACCTGGTTCTTGGTAAGATCGAGAGGGTCCTAGGGACTGGGAAAATGAATCTCCCTCTGAAAAAAAGGAACCAAGAGCACAGATGTTTAACTCTACAAACCTATAGAGAATGCATTCAGAAAGATATGACTGTAGCTAATCTATTTGACCCTGCATAGCCTGTGAGCTCAGAGTTTGGGGGACCAAGGACCTGCCTAACCTGACTGTGCTCTGGGACTTACTCGTTCCCTCCAGTCAGCCTGTCTGCCCAGGGAGGCCCACTATGCATGTCAATCCCTGCTTCTCCCATCAGCCATTTGGAGCTCTTTCACCCAGGACCACTGCTAGCCCATAGGGCACCTGTGGGTACCTTAGAAAAAGGTTCTCTTTCCTCAAGATATTCATTTCACTTTCATCTTTTAGAAAATTATCTTAACATGCTGATTTTGTTAGAATAGGATACTTTATTGCCAGAAAATTGGAATAATAAACATACAAATCACCCAGATTTAGAATCAACAAACTTGTCATGAAACACAAATAATTTTTACAATAATAAAAATATCTACATTGTGAATGACCCTTCCCCTCAAGTGAGGCACTCTGGCGCAGTGCACAACCTATACAACTATGGTAGCAGTTCTGCTTTCTCCCTGGCTTCAAGGCTCAACCCTTTCCCAAAGGGAGTCACATTCTAGACCCATCCGCCTGCACACAGGGGAGCCCTTGGCCCACCTCCTACCTATGATGTTGAACATGCAGAGGGGGCAGGTCCGATGCTGATGTAACCAGGGGTCCACGCAGTTACGATGGAACTCATGGAGGCAGGAAATGACCCGTAGTTCCTGCAGAGAAAGAGGGAGTCCAAACCAAAGGTTTCTGGAGCCATAGGAACTGCCAGGAATCAGGATATCCCCCGACTCCCTTAGGCCTCTCCTTCTTGCTATTATCTACTTGCAAAAGACCTCACAGTAGAATAGGAACGGTATGAGCTTTTGTATCACGTAGACCTGGATTTTGCACTTAGCTGCATGACTTTGGGCAAGTTTCTTAACAGACAGTTTTCTGCTGTAAAATGAAGATAAAAAATGAATCTAACCCCACCCTTCACTGCCATGGGTCTAAAATGAGATAATGCATCCAAAGCACCACTGCAGCCTGGCACGTGGTACACTCTCAACAAACGATAGTGCTCTTTCACTGGAAGGCCAGAAAAGTGACCAAACTTCAGGCTGGTCCCTGATCTCTGCCTCATGCAGGATATATGGGAAACAGACGTAGCCAGGGTACCCATCCCAGCCCTAAGCCTGTCCACCCCTGCCCCAGCTTCAATCTCCCCAATCTGGTCAGGGAGGTAAACCATAAGACCTGCCTTACCTCCCCCTCAGAGAACTCCTCCAGGCAGATGGCACACACGGGGGCTGAGCTGCAGCTGCTCCCCGAGTCTGGCCTCTTACCTCGAGCCCGCCTGCAGCTGGCCTTGTACCTCCTGGTGGCCAGCTGGCTGATGGCCCAGGCTGTTCTCTGCTGAAGTGGATCCTGGGAAGAGGAATGGGGTTCAGAGTGGGGCATGGGCTCCCTTTCCCCTCCTCGCTGGACCCCAGCTTGGACTCAGTTTAGCAGTCACTCAGGTAGACCACATGGCCAATTGAATGTCCTCAGGAGGTCATCTCTTTGGAGCTCATATGTGGCTCTGCCAAGCACGTCAAGCCCTCCCAGTCCACCCACTCGCTTATACCATTAGCTTTTCTTCCTTGGATGACTCATGAGAGAAACTTTTTATCCCACTGCTGCTTGACATTTCAACTTGGATATCTAATAGGCATTTCACACTTATATGCCCCGTCCTATTAACCATGGGCTAATCTCTAACCACATGCCTGGCTTCCCCCAGTCTTCCCCATTACAGCAAATGGCAACTCCGTTCTCTTAATTGCTCAGGCCAAAAATCTTGGTGCCATCCTTGAGTCCTCTCCCTCACACCCCACAAACAATCCATTACTAAATCTGTTGGCTTTGTCTCCAAAATATACCCAGAACCTAACTATTCCTCACCATTTTAACTGCCACCTTCCTAATCCAAGCTACCATTGCTGTCACCAGGATTCCTGCAACAGGCTTTGAGCTGGCTTCCGTTTCCGGCTTCCGTTTCCAGCCTTACCTCCTTGTAGTCTATTCTCATTGCAACAGCAAGAGTGATCATGTTAAAACATAAGTCGGATTGTGACGCCCCTTCTCTCACAACACTCCAGTGGCTCCTGTTTCACCCACAGGGAAAAACAAATGACCCATAACTGGGCCCCCACCGGCTACTCTGCCATCTCACTCTCTCTATTCCAGCCACGGCCTTCATGCCGGTCCTCAGACGCTGTCTCAAGGCCTTTGCCCTTGCTGTTCTTTCCGCTGGATCCCTTTCTCCTCAGACACCTGCACACATCACTCCCTCACCCATTTAGGGTCTTGGCTGCAATGCCATCTTCTGCAAGTGGCCTTCCTGGGACTTGCTTTTAAAAATTAACCCTGTTCCCTTGTATTTCCTCCCGACTTTGCTATCAGCATTATTATTTTTTCTCCATAGTACATGCCACCATCTAAAACATCATAGACTTTATTTATTTAGTGTGTTTATTGTCTGTTTTCTCCCTCTAGGATGAAAGCTCTTTGAGGGTAGAGGGTTTTTGTCATTTTGTTCACTGTACTACCCTCAGCACCTGGAACAGTGCCCAACATGTAGTAGAACTTGGTGTATTTGTTGAATGAATAATATGAGGAGAGGCTGCTGGAAATCAACGAAGACAGATGCTGGGGTATTTTGATGTAAACAGTTTCATGGGTATAAAGGTGCCTTCCTTCCTCACGTTCTCCCTCCTGCTCCCCACCCACCCACACACGTGCACACATTCACCACGGCAAAGAGCCCACACTGCTCACCGGCCTACTCTGGCGGGGGCGACACCTGATGCGCAGCACCGAAGCCAGGATGACCACAAAGATGGTGCCCACCACTGTCAGAAGGATCCACACGTCATAGTCTGGCTGGGGAGTGAGCAGAGAGGGAAAGGTCATACTTCAGGGAGGAGCTGGGTCAATTCTAGAGGACACACAGTAGGTTCAGGAGGCACATGGCTAACTGGAGGGGATGGGGAGGAACCTGCAAGTGGGATTAGGTGGGCCTTCCCTGCTCAAGGGCACTCAGAGAGGGTTGTCCAGATGCCAGCTGGGAAAAGTACTATCTCAAAACCCATGTGCTTGGGGAAAAAGAGAAAGGGACCCCTCTGCAAGGTGGGAGTCTCTTGCCAGTACGCAGCTGGGTGAGGTTCTTGGCCAGTAGAGAAGCCCCAACCAGGGGTCATGCATTAGGGATCAGGAGACCAGGGTTTCACTCTGTCTCTGCTATTCCATGCCATGAAGCCACAGAGCTGTAAGGAACTTTAGAACTCATTTGTCCTGATCTGTTCATTCTGCAGGTGAGGCCCAAAGACGGGGAGAAACTTGCCCAGTGGCACACAGCTGATGGATGAAGTTGAACTAGAGGATTTTTAGGATCTCTCTCAGCTCCAGGAGACTAAGGGCTTTTGGTGGGAGTTGCCACAGGACAAAGTGGGGGTGAATGCAGGGCAAGGTCTGGAGGTCTTGTGTGCTTACCCAGGCCGGGGACTCCTTCAGCTCGATCCTCACATGGGCCTTTCGGTTCTTGTACACAAACTCCATCAGCTTCTCAGCATCATTACCCCAGATCAACACTACTGGCCAGGTCAGCCCCAGCGGCTGCTGCAGCTACAGGGGGAAGGTGCCCACAGGGCTGCTGTGACTTCTCCCTGCCCTTCCCTCCCCTCTGAGAGCTTTATCTTCCTCCATCCAGCCCCCTCCTTGAACACGCAAATGTCCCTGGGTACCTGCTCAGCAGCAGCTCGATCTTCAGTAATATCAAAGAGCACAGCACTGGCTCCTCGCTCACCTGCCATCCGGGCCTGCAGAGGCACACAGCAGAGGTTGGGCTAGGCTCAGGGAAGGACAGAGCCCACCCACAGGCTAGCCTCATCCCCACACATCTGTCCCTTCCTAGGATTTTGCCCACACTGCACCTCTGCACGCTCACATCTATGTATGCAGGGGATCAGTGGGACTAGGATCCCCTATTCTGCCTCCTGAGCTCACTCAGGTCCCCACTGCCTTCAGAGGATAATATCTAGCATTTCTTTTTGTAATGGAACAAACCCTTAAGGAAGGTTTACTGGGTGCCAGGTGGTGGACCTGGCTCTAGGGCTAAAGACAAGTAAGACACAGCCCTTGCCCTTGGGGTACAATCAGCCTGCCTTCACTAAGAGGTGTGAGCACAAAGAGCAGGAGTGACCTGCACCCCTTTAGGAGGAAAAAAGAGGAAGGAGGGGAAAGCAGAGAAGCAGAATTCTCCTTCAGATAGAGCTGGGCTTTGGGGAAGCAGAGCTCTCCTTCGGATGGAGCTGGGCTTTTCAGGACCCAGCCCTGCCTGCAGGGCATCTCCCCAGCTCAGGCAAAGGTGTGAGAGCCTGGGACAGCGCTCTCACCCAAGGGCCACCATCACAAAGCCTCAGTCTCAGCCCATCTCATAGGCTCCCTCTCCTTGCCACACTCTACTTTGCCAAGTCTTTCTCTGGCTCTAGTTCAAGGACTTACAGGAGTCCCTGTCCAGTGCTTCATCCTTTCGTCCTCTCCCTTACGGTGGCATGAGAGACAAAAGTGGGGAGGGACTCTAGTCCCACATGGTGAATGTGCACATGTGCCTGTTCACCAAGGGCTCCAAGAGCTTGAGAAAGCAGAATCTAGCCAAGCAGGCAAAACGGATAGCTGCGTGAGAAGAAGAACAAAAAGGAGGAATCCAGGGTGGGTGGTGGCGGGGAGGGGAGTAAGGAAAGGGAGATAAGAGCTAAAGGTCGGGGGAGGGGGAGGCACAACGGCAAACAAGTAACAGGCACAGTGAGGAGCTGCTCCTGGCCTTGGCCTGGGGCCTCCTGGCCCAGCACAGCTACCCCTCAGCCTTCTTCCCTAGGGCAAAGGTTCATCTTCTAATGGCGTCAGGCTGTGATTTCACATCCCTGGGTAGCCCCACCCCACCCCAAGTCTCTGGGGTCTTCCCACAGGCAGTGAAGGAGTTAACCCTCCTGCAAGTAGTGGTGGCAGCAAGAAGAGCCAGCTGGGACTTACTCGCAGGCTCAGCACTTTGATCTCTGCCTGTCTTCCCAGGGAGAGCCTGTCAGGGCAGGTCTCCTGCCAGGCAGGCTGGGAGCAGCTCCTTGCGCCAGCTCCCTGCTCTCCACTCCCCAGACAGCGGCAGAGGAAACACTCAGGTGGGGGCTCATTTTGATCAGGAAGGTAATTCTCCTAGGGCCCAGGCTTACCAAGCTAAATGACTGGAAACTCACAGGATCAGTCAATTCCAGAATGGAACTGCTGAAGAAGCTGAGAGGTTCATGGCTTCCATCTTCCCTACTCACTTCCTCCCGGGAAGTCCACCCCCTCTAAGCTTCTCCAGGCAGGCAGAGACTTTCCAGTCTTCAGAACCCTCCTAGCCAGGGTATGGGAGAAGTACCAGGGGAAACGGAATCCCTGGTAGGGGAACCCTACTGGTGATCTCTTATTCCAGGATTTGGCCAAGGGACAGGAGAGGTCACCCCAGTAGTCACAGAATTGAGATTCCCAGGCCTTAGTTTTCACATCCCTGGAACAGGATCTTGGACCCACCTTGGCCTGGAAGAGCTCGAGTAGGGGCAAAGACTTTCTTCTTTGGAGATTTTGTTACTTCCCCACCCCTCTCTCTCTCTGAAGAATTGGAGTAGGAACAGTGGAAGGCAATTACTGTGACATTCAAGCACTCCAGCCCATTACAGCCCATAATTACAAAGTTGTAAAGTGATCAAAGAGCCCAGAGCATTGGCCAACAGGGGAAAACAAACAGGACCTTCAGGCAGTGGATCCCTCTGTCCAGAATTCTAGGAATAAAAGGCAACATCTGGAGACATATAGCAGCCCAATCGAGGCCTATCTATGCCTCCTGTCCACCTGACCCCAAGGAAGTCAGTGGGAGGCAAAAGGGAAAAAAAGTACTTTTCTGGGGAGTGGAATCTGGAAAGCAGAGAGAGGATGGGCAGGCCCTCGCAACAGGAAGGCGGTTTTAGAAAGAACCCAGAGAGCTCTTTGGAAGCTTCAGAGTTGGCCAGCCCTAGGGGCAGCAGGCAAGGCTGCCACAGCCTCTAGCAACAGGAGCCATGACAGAGAGAGCCATGAGAGTGAGCTGCAATGCTGCCTCTCACCTGCTGGACTCACGGTCAGCTGCTGCATTTCTCTGGGTCTTAGATTTTCCTCTCTAGACAAGAGTCCCTGCGTATCTTCCACTCATCAAAAATGAAGCCCTTACTGTTCCCGGAGCACCAAGCCAGGGAAGGCCAGGCCGCCCAAAACAGCTCATAATATAGCAGTGGAGACAAGGCACATACATAAACTACAGTGCTGATAATATTCTAGAGCACAAAGGAATAGAAGTTTCCAAACCTTTTTCACTCCAGAAGCCTCTCCCCTCCACCATCCCCTCCACCAATACACACACACACACACAAAATCTGGCACAAATCTTCAATATACAAAGCAGATAAAAGTGAGGCTGCTTACTTTGAGGTAGGGGTGGGGCAGGAAGGACCCTTAGCCTCTCCCCTCCACCCAGCAGGCACGCCCTTGAAACCCGGACTTAGCAGAAGATGATGTTGAAAGCATGCACAGACACCATACCCACTGAAGCCGTGCCCCCAGGGAGGGGTTTCCGCTCCTACTGGGCCGGCTGGGCAGGTAAGGAAAGATTCAGTAGCAAAGGTGGGATTCCTCTGGGCTTGAAAGTTAGGGGTGAAAGGGCGGAGAAGGAATATAAACCTTTATTGAGATCTGGGGCCCAGACTGCCTGGAGTTGAATGCTGGCTCTGATACGATTAGCTGTGAGACTTTGGGCAAGTCACTTCACTACTCTATGTCTGTTTTCTTTTTCTGTAAACTGGGATAATAACAGGACCTAATCCATAGGGTTGTAATGAGGACTACATAAACGAATCCACACAAAGCATTTATAACAGTGCCTGGCACATGGTGTTGCTTCAGTGTTAGTTCTTATTATATCAACTATTATTATTTTTATTAATTTTTTTAAATTAATTTTTTTTGAGACAGAGTCTCACTCTGTTGCCCACGCTGGAGTATGGTGGCGCAATCTGGACTGATGGCAATCTCCGCCTCTCAGGTTCAAAAGATTCTCCTGCCTCAGCCTCCCAAGCAGCTGGGATGACAGGTGTATGCTACCAGGCCCGGCCAAGCGCTATCACCAGGCTGGAGTGCAGTGGCATGATCTCAGCTCACTGCAACCTCCGCCTCCCACACTCAAGCGATTCTCCTGCCTCAGCCTTCCGAGTAGCTAGGACTACAGGTGCACACCACCACACCCAGCTCGTTTTTTTTTTTTATTTTTAGTAGAGACAGGGTTTCACCATGTTGGCCAGGCTGGTCTCAAAATCCTGACTTCGAGATCTGCCTGCCTCAGCCTCCCAAAGTGCTGGGATTACAGGCGTGAGCCACAGCACCCGGTCCCTATATCAACTTTTATTACTATGTGTTTTCCACGTGATTTCGTTTACTCCTCACAACTCTATAAGACAGTCATCAGCCCCAATGAGTTGGGAAACTGAGGCTGAGAGCGCCTGAATAATTTGCCCAGGGTCACCAACTGAGAAGCAGTGGAGGCAGAATTTCCACCCATGACCTCAGCTTTCCGACTGCCTGTTCTTTACTACGAGGTAGTGGCCACCATGGTAAGAGAGGCAGGGCTTGCACCCATCTGCTTCTCTCCAGATCTAGCTCCTTCTAGCAGGCAAAAGCCACTGTACTAGTTCAGGGGTGAGGTGATAAGGCTTATCACCAGGATGGCTGTGGAGCTGCTAATAAAGAAACAGAAACCAATCTGGGCAACTGGATGGAGGGTGGAGAGGGTAGTGGGGTGGTGACAAGAATGGAAGCGTCCAGAAGAATTACGGTGAAGGTTTCAGAAAAGCATAAGAGAGATAACAAACGGAAGGAAAAACACCCAACCTCGTTAACTACAAAAGCATGGAATGATGATGCCCATGGTGATGACCGTAATAACTGCGATCATTTATTGAGTGGTTACCATGTACTCGGCATGGGGCTAAAAGCTTCCCTCTGTACTGTCTCATTAAATCCTCATAACTACATATAAGTCCGTTATTCCCCTATGAGGAAATAGAGGCTTAGAGAGGTGAGCTAAAATGTCCAGGTCACACTGAGGGGCAGTGGAGGAGCCAGGCTCCAAGGCCAGGGCTATCTGGCTTGAAAGCCCCCAACTCTTGTCACTGGTGACACCACCATTGACACCAACAGGAAACGCCAAAGCAGAGCTGCAGGGGATCAGTGGTTTCCAAACTTTTCCTCCCCTAAAACCCCATCTTTCCCTTATACCTGTCATGAGTCACATTTTCAGAAAAACAGATGTTCAGCTAGGTGCAGTGGCTCATGCCTGTAATCCAATCCCAGCACTTTGGGAGGAAACCACTGATCCCCTGCAGCTCTGCTGAGGCAGGCAGATCACTTGAGGTCAGGAGATTGAGACCAGCCTGGCCAACATGGTGAAACACTGTCTCTACTAAAAATACAAAAATTAGACAGGGGTGGCGGTGCATGACGGTAATCCCAGCTACTCCGGAGGCTGAGGCAGGAAAATCGCTTGAACCTGGGAGGTAGAGATTGCAAGGAGCCACGATCAAGCCACTGCACTCCAGCCTGGGGGACGGAGCGAGACTGTGTCTCAAAAAAGAAAAAAATATGTTCTACCAAACTAACTAAATTTATTACTTACAATTCATTTTCCTTTAACTTGTATTAACACGTTCAGTTCAACAATAGAATTCCAACCAAAACAAAACCAAGTACTTAAGGTAAGCCTCTGGAACTTCTGAAATACTGGAAGTAGCTCGAAGACTCATATTACGGGTACAGTGGCTCATACCTGTAATCCCAGCACATTGGGAGGCCAAGGCAGGTGGATCATGAGGTTAGGAGATCGAGACCATCCTGGCCAACATGGTGAAACCCCATCTCTACTAAAAATACAAAAAGTAGCTGGGTGTGGTGGCACACGCCTGTCGTCCAGCTACTCGGGAGGCTGAGGCAGGAGAATTGCTTGACATACATTATTTTCATCCTCATGATAATCATGGGGGTAGGGAAAAAAAAAAGTCCTGTGTTATGGTGATGGAAAGAAGGGCCCAACAAAATTAAGTACCTCAAAGGGCCCTGGCCATATATATGTTCCTTACTTCACAGTGTCTTTGTACATGTTTCATCTCTCCTACAGGAATATGGGCCTCCAGAAGGCAGGAAGCAAACCTACTACGTGGAAGCATCCTTACACTTTGCCAAGTGTTCACAGATCTGTGAAATCATATTGTTTTAAAAGAACATCTGGCTGGGCATAGTGATTTATGCCTGTAATCTCAGTGCATTGGGAGGCTGAGGCAAGAGGATCGCTTGAGCCCAGGAGGTCGAGACTAGCCTGGGCAACAAAGCAAGACTCCATCTCTAACAAATAAATATTTTTAAAAAATTAACTGGGCAGAGTGGTGCACACCTCTAGTCCCAGGAGGCTGGGGCAGGAGGATCACTTGAGCCCAGGAGTTCAAGGCTGCAGTGAGCCAGGATCATGCCACTGCACTCCAGCCTAGGTGACAGAGTGAGACTTCATCTCTAAAGATAAATAAATTAACAAATGAAAGAAGAGTTGAACCTCTGTATGGCAGAATTCTAGATGTTTCTATGCGCTTACTTACACTTTTCTGTAATACCTGGGATAAGCATAAATTCCTTTTATAACAGGTAAAGAGAAGGAGAAGGAGGAGGAGGAAGAAAAAATAATAGCCAAGCTTCTCTGAACTCTTCTTCCCCATCTCTCTCACATGTGTGTGCACGCGCGCACACACACACACACACTCACTTGCTATCTAATGCAGTACAGGCACTGGGAACTTGTTTACCAAATGAATAAATGAATGACATTTGCCTCTATTTTATAAAGTAAGGGAAATGAAACATCCAGAAGTAGGGCAGGCAGCTGCAGCCTAACAACTCTGCTGCCATAAAGGCTCACAGCCTTGCAGAGATGCCGCACTCCCAGCTCCTCCAAGTGCGTCCTGATCCCCTGCTTCCCACCGCCTCTGGAGTCCCCTTCCTCGTCAGCATGGCCAGGCCAGGTGGATATCTTCACCCACATTCAGAATCCTGCCCACATCCCTGCCTGCCATAGGATAAGGTAAGAACTCAGGCTGGGCCAGGTGCAATGGTTCACACCTGTAATCCCAGCACTTTGGGAGGCCAAGGCAGGCAGATTGCCTGAGTTCAGGAGTTCCATACCAGCCTGGGCAACATGGTGAAACCCCATCTCTACTAAAATACAAAAAATTAGCTGGATGTGGCAGCGTGTGCCTGTAGTCCCAGCTACTTGGGTGGTTGAGGCAGGAGAATTGCTTGAACCCGGGAGGCAAAGGTTGCAGTAAGCCAAAATCATGTCACTACACTCCAGCCTGGGCAACAGAGCCAGACTCTGCCTCCAAAAAAAAAGAACCCAGGTTGTTTCCTTGCACCCAGGAGGACCAGAGGACCAGGAGATCCACAAGGGATCTGACCCTGAGACAGCAAGCTAGCACAAAGGTTGGGAGCGTCACTCTCCTCTCTCACCACCCTTGGGAGCATGCCCATGTGTGCCACAAACGATCTAACTACACTCCACATATACATTCAGTTTTCCAGCTAGCAGGGAGGCCACAGATAGATTAAGCCTAGTTTTGAGAAACAAAGTATTGGATTCAAAGCTCAGCTCCACCCCTTCCTAATTGTGTCATCCAGCAAGTTAATTTTTCTGATCTTCACTTGTCTCATACGTCAAATGGAGAATAATAATGCCTACTTTTCCTGATTGTCCTGAAAAGTGAATAATACATACAAAGAATCTGTCTCGTGTCCATGTGGCACATTGTAAGCACATAGAAAACAGTAACTGCTATTGTTAGTTAAAGCAGGAGTCACAGGCAAAAGTCTAGAGGCCCCGTGAGGTAGCAGGCCAGGGTGGAGCAAAGCGAAAAAGAGGCCCACAGCTGTTGAAAGTGGGCAGCCCCAGCCCAGCTCCTACTAACCATGGCCTATAGCCATGTGCTTTTCGGCTTTCTTCTAGAGAAGCTGAAAATCTGAGTTTTTATATAAACATTTTTAATTTTTAAATGTGGCAATTAATTTACACATTGAAAAGTCACTGTGAGGGTTAAATACAACGTGTCTGCAAGCCAAACCCAGCTTGTAGGCCACTAGTTTGCAACCTCAAGGGAAAAGTGTGAACTGTCTAAGGGTGGGGCAATGGTTTCTATTTCTGCTGTTCTTGCATAGTGCTCAGTGTATATTTCTTTTTTCTTTCTTTTCTTTTCTTTTTTTTTGAGATGGAGTCTCACTCTGTCACCAGGCTGGAGTGCAGTAGTGGAATCTTGGCTCACTGCAACCTCCGCCTCCTGGGTTCAAGCGATTCACCTGCCTCAGCCTCCTGAATAGCTGGGACTACAGGCACGTGCCACCACATCCAGGTAATTTTTGTATTTTTAGGAGAGACAGGGTTTCACCATGTTGACCAGGATGGTCTCGATCTCTTGACCTTGTGATACACCGACCTCGGCCTCCCAAAATGCTGGGATCACAGGCATGAGCCACTGTGCCTGGCCCAGTGTATATTTCTAAAAGATGGAAAAAGCCCTTCAATTGACCCCTCTTTGCTGTGGTGCTGAGCAGGAGAAGGGACTCAGGAACTCCCAAGTGATGATGAGGAGGTGGGATGGGAAACATGCCGGGATGAAGGTCAAAAAGTCCTGCTGGTGCTAGTTGGAGGAGAAAGAACAGAGGTGTGAATTTACACTTCTCTCAGACCAGTCATGGGTTAGGGAAACTTGAGGGAATCAGGTGCATCACTCTTAGGAAACGTGGCGACAAGAGAGCACAGGGTCTTCTCACAGCCCAGAGCTGGGTGAAGTTCCAGGTGTGTGTAGGGTGAAGTGTGAGTCTACCTTGCTGGCCAGTGACAGGCAGGGGCGGGGGGCCCGTCGGGGACTCTCCAGCTTGACGATGCTGATGAATCCAGGCTCCAGATTGTCGTCATCACTGGCATTGCACAGGTACAGGGGGTGGGACTGCAGAAGAGACAGACTTGGGTTAGGAAGGCTTTAGGCAGCAGGAGTGAGCTGTGAGAACCAAGCACCTCTATGTTGTTCTAGAGAGGTACAAGGCAGGTCTCTTGGTGCCACAAAAGAGTGGGCCTTATGATTAGATTGCCTCATAGTAAGCTAGTGACTACTGTTTGTCATTTCAGTGATGCTGGGGCCAAGGACACAGGTAGTGGAGGCAGATGGGAGGGAGAGGGTGTCCTAGAGAGGGCCTAAATGAAGAGCTTGCTGCAAAGCAACTCTAACAACCTTCAACTCCAACAATCCTACTTACCTAAACTGGCCAGATACAGAGGCCTCCTCTCCTGGCCCCAGCCTTTCTACCTCCTGATCCCCTACCTGGTCCCTAAGCCCCAGGCTAAGAGGATATCCATGTGTGCCCATGTCAGTGCTTTCCGAATCCCCGTGGGCAGTGCTGGGTGCTGCTGGTGCCTCCCGCCTCCTCGGGATGCCCCCGGGCAGCTGTTGCCTTGGAGATTCCCATTTCTCAGGAGGCTGGGTCTTCTCACTGGGCGCTGCCTTGCTTCTCACTAGCCCTTTTTCGCTTCTGCCCTGTGCCCATCCTGGGATCAAGTATGGTGCCAGGTGAGACTATCTTGCAATGAGGCTTGGCTAAAACATAAGACTTGACAGCTCACCCTGGTCCCAGAAATGACGCTGTAGAGGTGGAGCCGGCTCAGCCCATCTGCTCTGAGGATATGGCAGGTCCTGTCCAAGGCCTTGTGCCTCTGAGCCCAGCTGGTGCTGAACAATGAATAAAGAGGAATGTGCCAACAGAAATCTGAGGGTCTCCTCATCAAAGGGATGAGACCACCTTACTCTAACTCTCTTCTCGTTCATGGCGATTTGTACACCCATTTGAATCTAATTTTCCTCAAATAAAATGTCAGAGTGCAATGAGAACAAAGTATGATTTATTTGGCCCTGAATAATCCTATGGCCCAGGGACTCCTATGTAGCAGAAACCCCATGTATCCTGGCAAGGAAGAGAGGTCTTATTGGAGAGGTGCCCACACACATCCCCCTCTACTACTGTTGAAGTCCGAAGGACTTTCAGAAAGAACCATCAGAGGATCCAGAGAGAATCTTGAATTTATAAAGATGTTTATGAAGATAATGTCAATGATGGATTTAAAAGCACAGTTTCTGGAAGCACTTTCAGGCTATTTCCTATCACTGTATCACTGCAGTGCCTTGAACATAGTAGGTTCTCAAAAAATATGCAGTCCCTTGCCTTGAATCAAAATCTCTGGGCAGAGGGTGCTGAGATAGGAGGGAGTTCCATTCTTGCTCCCAGAGTTTAAGGCCTACTAGTCTGGTAGTGAGCAAGGTTTAGTGTGGGAGAAAGGTTATTGTGTGCCCCTGCCCCCAGAAAAAGGCTGGGGAATGAGGATGAAGTTGTTCTCACGTGAGTGCAGCTATAGCCCCTGTCTCAACAAGCTTCATTAGTGTCTCCGTCTGTCCATGCATCCACTCGTTTCTTTGTTCTTCCAACACAGAAGGCCCCCTTGGTGTCAGGCTCTGTCCAGTGCAGTGAGGAGTTAATGATGAGTAAGAGAGGCTCCTTGCCTTAAAGTAGCTCAAACGACAAGCATGCAAATACGTTGTAGTGTGATGTTATGATGCAAGGGCCTATAGGAGGGCACCAAGAGGGGCGGCTGGCAATACGTATGGGAAGCAGAGCAGTTTTCACAAGAGGTGACTGGAGAGCTTCCTTGAAGGCTAACTAGGTATGTGTTCACCCCAGGGACCAACGAAAGGGAGCGGGGTTGAGGAGGCACATTCCTGGCAGAGGAAGTCACTGCACCGAGGAACAGAGGCCCGGCACAAGACTGAGGAAGACTGTGGGTGGTAAGGTCCGTCATGAAAGGGAAGGCAGGATAGGATCCTGCCTCGGAGGCTGGCACAAAAGGGAGGCTGGCACGGAAGGGAGGCTGGAAGGATCCACAAGAGTCAGTCCACAGAGCAGGGACCACAGATTTGCACTGGAGACCAATTTCTCTGAAGACTGTGGAGGAGAGTCTGGTGTGGTGGGGTGTCCGAAGGCAGCTGCTCCACCAGAGCAGAAGATGAAGGCCTGGCCTGAGGAAGGACACATCGCAGCCACAGAAGGCTCTGCTCTGCTTGCTTCTCCACCCTCCCCACAGGGTCCAGCCTTCTCCTGATGACTCTGAGCTGCTGCTCACTGACCAGAGGGTCACCCGGGAGAGGGGAAAGTCATTAGGGAGAAGTTCCTACAGAGTGTCTGCAGATACTTAACCAGCGCTCTTCCCCAGGTTTTAACAGGGAACCCGCCTCTGCAGCACAGTGCTGCGTTGTAGGACACCTCTGAGAAGGCAGGGAGAAAAGGGGAGAAAAATGACCTGGTGTCAGTTACCAAACTTGCCTGGTTTTGAATTAACAACTGTGAAGAAGGAATGGAAGGAAATTAACCATCAGGAAAGGCCTCCTGTGTGACAGGGCTTTTAGACATTATTTCACTATAAGGTAGGTGTTATCATAGCCATTTTAAAAAATAATTATGTATTTTTATGAGCACATAGTAGGTGTATATATTTATGGGATCCATGAGATGTTTTGACACAGGCATGCAATGCATAATAATCACAGCATGGAGAATGGAGTATCCATCCCCTCAAGCATTAATCCTTTGTATTACAAAGAACTCAATTATACTCTTTTAGTTATTTTTAAACTTAAAATAAAATGATTGCTAACTATAGTCTCCCTGTTGTACTATCAAATACTAGGTCTTTTTCATTCATTGTAACTATTTTTTTTTTTTTAATATCCATTAACCATCTCCATCTCCCCACTACCCCTATGATAGCCCCTTAAAGAAGAGATGCTTGAGGCTGAGAGAAATCAAGGTCACACAAGATTTGAACTCAACTCTGTCGGACTCCATTTTCGGAGCCATGGAGCTTCAAATGAACACAGCATGAACCCTCCATCTCCATGCTAATGATAGGATTAGGACGGCACAGTTTATATTTATTGGGTAAATACTGTGGGCCAGTGATGGTTCTATGTAGTTTTGCACATTAACTCTTTTCATCCTCCTAACAACACTATCAGGTAGAAATTGTTATTGTCCCCATTTTAAAGATGAGGAAACTGAGCCACTAAAAGGTTAAATAACACGCCCAAGATTACACAGCTAGTAAGTGGCAGAGATTAGGGGAAAAATGGATAGTAGTGATAGGACAAGGTTTAAAAAAATTAAGAACAATGTACATTTTATTTTGAAAACACAGGACGTTCCCTTAACTCATTTCTGAGAAAATTTATCTTACTAAAGCGTAAGGGCCCAAATACAAGCCCCCAAAATGTTGGTGGTAATCGCCGGGATTCTGTCTTAGGCCTTCTTCTCTTTTCACTCTTGATGCCTTCTCTGAGTGACCGCAGCCAATCCCATGGCCGTGGTGTCCACACAGAGGTCAGTGATTACTTATGTTCAGTTTAGTCTTCTTTTGAGCTCCAGACCCTTATGTCTAACAGCGCCCCTGGAAGTTTCTACCTTAATCGTCTTAAATGGAACACCTCAAACTTGGCATGTCCGAGACTGGAATCATTCTGTCCCTCAAACTGCTCCTCCAGTGTTTGCTGTCTCAGGGACTGGAACCACCATCCCTCTGTCACCCAAGCCACATGTTGCCCTCCCAGCCTCCATCTCCTTCACCCCCACTCCAACCACTAATATCCAATCGCCAAATTCTAACAACTCTACCTCCTAAATAGTCGTCTTATTCTTTCTTCCATTCTGTCGCTCTTCTAATGCAGGCCACCATCACTGCCAACCCTATTTACTGACATAACCTACTACCTAGGGTTACTTCATCCCGTTCAGTGCTCTGTATTGCAGCCAAAGTGGTCTCAAATGCTAACTTGAGCATGTTACTCTTCTACTTAAAACAAGGCTCCTCATAGCTCCTGAAACAAAGTCTGTACTCTTCAACACAGCTTAAAAGGCTCTGCCCGATCTGGGCCCTGCCTCATGGCTTAACATTCCCTTTCCATATCTCTTCCGCCTGGCGACCTATGCTCCAGAAATAATAACTTGCTTCATTTCCCTAAACACCTTTGGCACTTGCTGCTCTGTCTGCATTTCCCTAATCACCCACTTACCCCACTGTACTGTAAGTGTCCACTTATTTCCCTCTCTTCCCCAGAGGATGACTGAGTCTAGCCTCAATGCCTGTTACTTTGTGGGCACTCAATCAATATTTGTTGATGAAATATTGGAAGTGTACAACCAGATAACTGATGAGAGTTAACTATGAAGACAAGACAGAACACACCAAAATCCTGATAATGATTGCTCTGGGAGAGGAACTGGAGAGGGGTAGTAAAGAGGCACTTTGGTGTTTTGGTTTGAATAACACGTGAGATTTGAGGGGTTTTGTTTGTTTGTTGTTTGTTTCTTGCTGTTGTAGAAAAACAAAAAAGAATGACAGCTATTTATATTTGGTTTTGTGTCTTCCCCCTCCTTCCCTTCTAAGAAGATGGCTTCACCTTCTATTTCCTTGCTCCAGGGGCGTTTACCAAAAGCAAGTGTTGTTTAAAGACCTCCCTTCCTGGCTTTTGCAGAAAAACTGAACTCCCTGTGGAAGTGTGAGTGTCCCGAAGGCAGAAGGGCATGGGGTGAGGGGAGAAGTCAAAGTCTCATAACCGGGAGGGCAAGAAGGAGGGGTCTGGAGCCAGTGTGAGGGGTGTGGAGCCATGCTGAGCAGTGGGAAGCTGCAGCCTGTGCCCCAGAATGGGTGGGTCCCTGAAGGAGGACAGAGCACTAGACCTGGGAGGCTGGCCCCTTGGAGAGATGATGTGCCCGACTGGATTTCCAGGGAATGCCTGTGCTTGGACAAGGAACGTATCTGTGGTGGCCAGCGTGGACACATGTCAGAGGGGTCCCTTAGTTATCTTCGTTTTCATAAAAGCCTGGGACATTTGTGCTACTCTGTGAGGAG